ATCTCTCCTTCTCTGCAGCCACTCTCTTAAATGAAGTTCTCATCATTTGTTCCCTGGATTGTTGCAATAGCCTCCTCTATTAGTTTTTTTCAGGAGCGCTGGTGGCACCGTGGTTAAAGTGCTCAGTTGATACCTGAAAGGTCAACAGTGAACCCACCATCCGCTCCACAGGAGAAAGATGTGGCAGTCTGCTTCCGTAAAGATTTACAGCCTTGGAAATTCTTTGGGGCAGTTCTGCTCTGTCCTATAGGGTCGCTATGAGTTGGAATCCACTGGACGGCAGTGGGTTTGTTTTTGGTATTAGTTTTTTATTGCCACTATAACAAACTTAGCTACTTAAGACAACTCAAATTTGTTCTTACAGTTCTGTACATGAGAAGTCCAGTGGGTCTCACTGGGCTAAAATTAAGGTGTGGACGGAGCTGCATTCCTTCTGGAAGCTCTAGGGGAGAATCTATGTCCTTGCCCTTTTCAGCTTCCAGAGGTGGTCTGCATTCCTTGGCTTATGGCTTCTTCCTGCATCTTCAAAGCCAGCAATGTTGCATCTCTCTGACCTTTCTTCCATAGTCATATCTCTCTCTCTCACCAGTACTGGGAAAGATTATCTGCTTTTAAGGATTCATGTGACTAAAATGAGCCCACCCAGATACCAGGATAATCTGAAAGTCCTTAACATTAATCACATCTGCATAGTCCCTTTAACATACAGGTTCCAGAGATTAAGATGTTGGCATCTTTGGGGGGCTGTTATTCTGCCTACCACACCTCCTCTGGTCCTTCTGCCACTCTCTTCTCCACTTAGCATCTAGAAGCCTTTTGAAAATAGAGATTTATTCATTTTACTCCCCTGAATTTTTTAGTGGCTACTTATCACCTGCAGGATTGAGTCCAAACTTGATGATACAGTGTGTAAGACTGTTCTCAATCTTGCCCCTTCCTGCACTTCTCTTCAAGTATTCAGTGCTCTAGATCTCAATACTCGAAGATTGATTTGTGGACTAGCATTATCCACATCATCTGGGAGCTTGTTAGAAGGCCCTACCCAGACCTCCTGAATAAAAATCTACATTTTTAACATGATCCCCAATTTGAGAAACAACTGTTCTTGACATCTGTACTTTCTTATGTCTTCCCAAACTTACGGTACTAGTCAAGGGTTTTAGATTAAAACTTAAACAGAAGAGATTTTATGGGAATTTGTAGAATTAACTAGAAGGCTAGGGAAAGGTACTCAGAAATTGAGAGGATCAGAGAAGGCTGGGTGGTGGTAACGGCCAAGCTCATAACAGGAAGGGTCTGGTTAGGAAGCCATTGCCAATGTCATTACCATAGACACTAGTTGCCAGCTTCTCATGCCTTTGGAACACTCACTGAGGATCCAAAGACTGAAAGCATTCTTCCTGAGAACGAGCACAAGACAAGGATGTCCTTTGTCACCACTCCTATTTAACATTGTGCTGGAAGTACTAGCTAGAGCAGTAAGGCAAGAAAAAGAAATAAAGCGTCTTCAGATTGGAAAGGGAGAAGTAAACCTATCCCTATTTGAAGATGATATGATCCTATATATACAGAATCCCAAAGATTCCACAAAAAAACTAGTGGAACTAATAGAAAGATTCAGCACAGCAGCAGGATACAAGATAAACATACAAAAATCAGTTGGATTCCTATACACTAACAAAGAGGACTTCAGAAAGAAAATCAGGAAAACAATGCCATTTATAATAGCCTCTAAAAAAATAAAATACTTAGAAAAAAACTAACCAGCAGGATGAAAAAGACCTATACAAAGAAAACTACAAAACGCTACTACAAGAACCAAAAGAGACCTTCATAAATGGAAAAACACACCATGCTCATAGATACGAAGAGTCAACATTGTGAAAACGTCAGTTCTACCCAAGGCAATCTACAGATATAATGCAATACCAATCCAGATACCAAGAGCATTCTTTAACAAGATGGAAAAACTAATCATCAACTTTATATGGAAAGGAAAGAGGCTCCGGATAAGCAAAGCATTATTGAAGAAAAAGAACAAAGTAGGAGGCCTCACACTACCTGATCTCAGAATCTACTATTCAGCCACAGTTGTCAAAACAGCCTGGTACTGGTTCAATGACAGACACATAGACCAGTGGAACAGAATCAAGAACCCATCTGTAAATCCATCCACCTACGCTCAGCTTATCTTTGACAAAGGCCCAAAGTCCATTAAATGGGGAAAAGACAGTCTCTTTAACAAATGGTGCTGGCAAAACTGGATGTTCATCTGTAAAAAAATGAAACAGGACCCATACCTCACACCTTACTAACTAAAAATGGATCAAAGACCTAAATGTAATAACTAAAATGATAAAGATTATGGAAGAAAAATAGGGACAGTGCTAGGGGCCCTAATACATTGCATAAATTGTATACAAACCATAACTAACAATGCACAAGCACCAGAAGATAAACTAGATAACTGGGAGCTCCTAAAAATTAAACACTTATGCTCATCAAAAGACTTCACCAAAAGAGTA